CGGCGGCGGCGGCGGCGCCCGAGCACCCGAGGGGGTCCGAGCCCCGGCAGCCGGCCAGCCCCGCGCCACAAAGGGAGCGCCCCCGCCGCTTGGCACGCCACCTCCCTCCCCAATGTCCTCAGCCATCGAGAGGAAGAGCCTGGACCCGTCTGAGTAAGTGTGGCTCCCCTGCCCCTGCCACCCACGGTGACCACGGCCTCGCGCCCCAGGGCTGCAGGGTGGCGCGGGCGGCGGGCGAGAAGGTTTCAGGTGCGCGCCCGCAGCGTGCCCTTGGCTCCCTTCGCCTGGAGCAGGGCTCCCCCTTTCTCGCGGGTGGCTCGGGGGGCACTGGGAGAGGGGCTGGGCCACCAGCGGCAGGGAGAGGGGGTCGGCCTGGCACCTCTGCGGGCCCTTCTCGGCTACCCGGGACGCACCTCAAAGCCACCGCGGGTCAGAAAGTTTACACCGGAGCAGGCACAAGGGGAGATTGGAGGTGCGCAGGTGCAGTCCCGAGAGCGTGCCGGGCTTGGTTCTACTTCCTTCTCCCCCCTCGCTTTCTCGGTCCCCATTCTCTTTGTCCATTTGATCCTGGAAAGGGGGACATTCCAAGCGGAGGCCTCCCGAGTCCCCGACGGCCCCCTTTGCGGTGCGCAGGTGGGGCGGCTGCCAGTACCGCCAGGGACCCGCGGGCGAGGAGGTCCGAGCGTCCACCTAGCAGCTCTCTCCGGCCACCAGAGACTTTCGAGCCCCTAAATCCGGAGTTAATTGGAGTATATGTATTTCCCTCTCCCTTGGGATCCACTGATGGGGGGGCCTGTGAACCTCAAAAGTTAGTGCACCATTTTGTGTATAGGTGAACTCTGGGGAGCGGTGTCTCATAGCATTTTTCACGGGCTCCAAAGGGTTTGGGGTCAGGGAGCCAGAGCTCCAATGAGCATTTGCCACATTTGTTTTCAGAGCCTCGTCCTGGTTTGGAACGTTCCCCTATTCCCAACCTATACCTCCAAACCATTCTTTAGCGTTAACAAGGGGAGAAAGGGTTGTTTGAGATATCATTTTCCCGTCAGCGCAAATGCCCTTTTAAGATTCATTAGCTGTCTGGTATTGAGAATTTTTATTCCTTTGAAGTCCCCATCTAATCCTTTGAAGGGATTTGTTACACAGACCAAAGGAGCTGGTTAATGACTTGTCCATTTGTGCTTTTAAGACGCATTTGTCTTCTCTTTTCTTTTCTTTTCCTGCTTTAAAGGAACTGTGCTTTCCTGATTGAAGTCTCCCCCTCCCCCAGTTTCAGCCGGCTATGGTGTTTATGTACGTGGGTTTTATCCTCGTTACCAGCATAAACACTCAGCATGCTCTTATAAAATACAGGAAGTACCATGATCCAGTGAGAATATAAACATTACTGTTGAGTCTTGAAGGCTCTCACACCAGGTCTACAAGGGGCTAGGTTGGTTCTAAGGAAAACACAGCTTCCATAAATAAGTTCTCGGGAGAAAAATAACATTCATTTTTAAAAGAACCTATCTATGCAGATGCAGGGTTTACAGGGTGGTCTGTACCACCCCCCCCCCCCTTTTTTTTTAATCAATCTGGAATGACAACTTAGCCCTGAGTTTTCAGAGTCTGAGCAAGACCACAGTAATACAATAAGAGTGAATGGGATGAATTGGTGCCTAATGCCTTTTCGATCAACAGAATTTAGCCACTAATCCTTTTATTGGAAGATAAATCTGGAAGTTTCAGTTCCCTGAAGGTTTGCCCTTTTCAAAGTTTGTGCTTTTTCACTGTGATTACTTACTCAAACCAACGTGGGCCTTGACTATCAGCATCTCCAATTTACAGATAGAAGCTTGCCTAGGCATTTGCAAATGAAACATTTAGACAGAAAGCCAGCCAGGATTCACCAATGGATAGATTTCCTCTACCAGGCATTGGGTGGCCCCTACCGCTTACCTGTGAGTAACAAGAGCAGATCATTTTATTTCCAGGCAACTTTGCACCAGAAAGGTGAAAGTTCTCCTCTTTCACAGTTGGTTGGCAGCATCAGCATCAGGGCATCCAGCGTGGTTGAGGTTCCATGAGTGTTTCTGGAAGCCCGAGTAAGACCATGGGCGGTGGGAAGAGAGGACATGTGCTTCTGAGCTGACACATGTGAAATGCTGGGGATATTATCTTTCAGAAGGGAGAATGGCAGTCCTTATGTATAACCTGTGGAAACAAAGAAAAGCAAGTCAGGCTTCAGTGAATTTTTACAACTCTTTAAAGTCTTCAGTTTAAGAAAAAAACTGACTTGGGTTTCACATTTTCTTATTCTAAGAAGGGATCATCTTATGAAGGACCCTTACACTTGGTCTATAAGGCATGGACTTGGTTTCAGTATTCCTAAATATTCACAGGGAGGTGACCACTTTAAAGAGGCACCTGGAGTTGTCAGCGTGCGTGCATTACAACACTGATCACGTGAGTCTCATCGTCCCTAAGTATAATTGGTGCTGAGCTCTATGGGCACAGACCAATCAGGGCACAAGGTTACCTGGCAAATTAGTGTCAGCTAGAAATAGGAGAAAGATTCATACCCTCAAGGTATGGAGGAGGAAACTCCCTTTGGGAATTGCACAATCAGAAGCCAGTCCATTTTTTAAAGCATAATAGATTAAAAAAAAAAAAAAAGATTTGCCTTTGAGTAAGGTTCAAAAGAGCGCTTGTTAATTGTTACAAATCAACAGGTATTAGGTTTTTCCTGCATCCCATTCGGTGCTGGAAATGTTTCTTTCCGCTCTTATTTTCTTTTGGCAAATAAAATTATTTATTTTAAAACGTAAAACTGGAGTATTCCGATTCCAGGGAAGCGAAGTGAACTCGAGACACTGTCTCACCTTTTAAGGAGGGAACACGTATCACAGGCTCACTGTTAGCAGGCCTGGATGGAGATTTCAGAATCTGTTTAATTGCCGTCTACTCTTGAAAATAATCATTGCCCCTTCCTCATTTTCTTTCCTAAATCAGCTTTATCCAAATCAGTTTTGCTGTTGTAAAAATTTTCACATGCAGAAAGGTCTATTTAATGGCCTTTATAAGTCTAACAATGGCCTTAATACCTGGGATTTTTCTCCAAGGGTTCATTCAGTAATAAAGATGAGATGTGGAATTTCTGTAAAATATATATATACATATATGTATATATATATTTTAATGATAATGAGAATTCCTATTATATCCTGATGGCATTTTTATTTGGGAAACAAAACAACCTAAGATAATTTTTTTATCACTTTCTTTTTTCTTCCTCACTTCTGCTCTTTGTGCAGTTGGGAAGGGCTTGGGTTAGGATGGCAGGTCCATTCGACAGGGAATTTGTAGAGCTTTAGCCCTCTGGGTAGTGGGCTGTCCCTGAAGCAAGTAACTCTTTGAGCCTGGAGTGCCTCCCCTGAGGTTTGGCAGTGCCCTTGAGTCTAGGCATGGGAGTTGGAAAAGAAGGAGAAATGCCAAGATACAGGGGAGAGTAGGAGGGGAGAGTGGAAAAAAGAAAAAGACGGCAGAGAGGCCCAGAAAGTGCTGGGCGGCAGGCAGGGGCCACAACCCCGCCCCCCTCCCCCACGGGGTGTACCTCTTGGTGCCCTGCATTTACTTCTATAGCATGGAGGGGAAGAGACCTAGCTCCCTCCAGGCCTGACTCAGGCTAACGGGGGCCTCTCGGCAGTTCAGCCTCAGGATGTGGAGCCCCGTCCTTTCTCCTGATGTCACCAACAGGCACCTAACTGTCCAGTTCGGCCCAGAGCAGTTCCTGACCTCCGGTGCTTGTCATGTGGTTGTCCCTAATGCTTGGTCTTCTCTCCAGGGAGCCAGTGGATGAAGTGCTGCAGATCCCCCCGTCCCTGCTGACATGCGGCGGCTGCCAGCAGAACATTGGGGACCGCTACTTCCTGAAGGCCATCGACCAGTACTGGCACGAGGACTGTCTGAGCTGCGACCTCTGCGGGTGCCGGCTGGGCGAGGTGGGGCGGCGCCTCTACTACAAGCTGGGCCGGAAGCTCTGCCGAAGGGACTATCTCAGGTACGCTATGTCCACGCCTGGGGCCCTGAGCAGGGAGGGGACAGTCCACAGACCATCTGAGTGTAGGTCCACCTCTTCCGCTCAGGCCAGAGGCTGAGCCTAGCTGCCTTGTGCAGAGAAGTAGTTGGCATCTCCTCCTGCTGGAGGAGCATATTCTCAGGGACGCATTCCTCTGTGCTAAAATACTAGTTTTTTTAAAGGTGAGAGAATGATAAACATGAAATGCTGAATAGAAGTCCCCTGGGGGGGGGGCATGGTGGGGCACAAGGACTGGGGAGGGGTACGCATGTCGGGCCGGAGGATCCAGGAGTGCTGGAGTTGACCAGTTTGAGGGTAGGTTCTTAGGAGCTCATTGAATGCTTCAAAACATATATCTAGGTTGTAAATAATTTTTTGTAGGACCCCAATATTATATGATGAGACATTTCAAAGCTCCAAGCTTTTTTTTTTTTTTAAGTTTATTTATTTTGAGAGAAAGAGAGGGAGACAGAGAATCCCAATCAGGCTCTACACTGTCAGCACAGAGCCCCATGCGGGGCTCCAACCCACCAACCGTGAGATCATGACCTGAGCTGAAATTAAAGAGTCAGACGCTTAACTGAGCCACCCAGGCGCCCGGGAAAGCTCCAAGCTTTTGACTGTGACAGGGCAATAGTTCTGAAGTCAGCTGTAGGTGTGAGTCCCAACAACACAGCGTTCTAGCTGTGTGAACTCGGGCAAGCTACTTACCCTTCCCCAGCCTTGATCTCCTCATCTATAGAAATGGGGATAATAGCCGCACCTACTTCCAAGGACGCGGCGAGGATTAGATGGGGTCATACGTGTAAAGTTCTTGGCCTGGTGCGTGAACGTCAAACAGATGTTAGCTGCTCTTGCAACCAACCCTCATGACAGGATCATCGAGTCTTTTCCTACCTAATGAACAAGAGATGGGAGAACGGAAGGAAAAATAGGAACTCTAGGACACCCACTGAGACAGGAGCTAAGGACATCTCTGATGCTCCGGGTCACGCTGTTGGCCATGTGAGTTTCCCAGCACTCAACGAGTGCCTTGGTTCGGAATGTTCTAGCATTTCCAGTTTCATATTAGCTGCCGTGCAGGTAACTCTGTGCCCTCTACTGTCAGATCTGTTCAACTGTATAGCTGTCAGTTTTTTGCCATCTTCCTGGGGCACAGCGTCTGTGGAGCATGCAGCCGTAATACATTAGGACCACCCAACCCAGGGAAGCTTGTTTAGACTCCAGTGCCCTTGGCGGCCAGGCTACCTCTGCCTCCCAAACCTGCCCTCAGAGCATTTTTACATTAAAAAAAAAAAAAAAAAATGCAGGCAATTCCACGGTGAAGGAAGCTTATCTGTTTACCCAGACTGATAGAATAAGTGCCTTTTATTCCCCCCTAAATTCTCCAATAAAGTCCTTGCAAACTTGGTGGTTCAGAGAAAATAAGTAGAGTTTTCAATGATCATGATTATAATTGTGGTCCATTTTTTATTAAGTTACAAGAAAATGGAACTGGGATAAACAGAGACCTGATTTTGCCGGCTACCAGTTTGCCAAAAGTCAGTGCAGAAAGCAGACGGGTAAATGATCCCCATTGGGCCCCCTGACTACATCCCTGTCAAATCATTTGAATCTTATTAAATAGTGCAGATAGAGTAAGGTCAAAAGAGCCCCAGCTTCTCCCTATCTCTGTGGTTTTATATAACATTCAAGAATAAACCCAGTGCTGCCTGGGCTTGTTAATCTTTTGCATTTTTAAAAAGAAGAGGGGAAAAAAAATTGTCTGGGAGAACCCAATGTTAATTAACTTGTGTCTTGGTGACACGAAATAATTCTTCTCCCTGCTACATTCCTAGGCAACATGTTAATTAACTCTGTGTTAGTGCAGGCGGTTCCAGCCATCCTTTAATATTTATATTATTGTTATTAAAATGGGCAGGAGAAAGCTTAAGACATTGACACCTCTTGACAGAGGAGAAAAA